TAAACCCAGCACTCATTTAGTCTCTTCTGATGTTTGCCTCCTATCCTGTTAACACTTCCAAAAACTGACTAATGTCTAGCCACACACCACCAACGTTTTACCAGCACAGTCCGTACTACTCAGTCTCTATAACATCTATGGAATCTTGTTACGGCTGCCTGTTTGCGAAAGGCAGCAGAGTATTGAGCGAACGCAGGCAGGCAGTCTTTAGAACACTCTGCACTTGTCGTATTTTAGTTGGAATACATTTATTGCATTGGGACCGGTTCAGTGTTGCTGTTTTTACTGCTGACGTTGGTTGGTCGATTGGTAGGTAGAGTATGATGGTGTTTCATTGTACGTAGTAATAGCAGACTGGATCTGACTGTACACTGCAAGTAGGTATGGTGAGTTGTATTCGCTATTGCCAGTTTTGCAGCAAACACCTAGCAGATCAAACAGAAAACATAGTGTAGACTGATATTGATAGGAGATCGATTTTGCAAGTAAATTGTTTGCTGGCGTATTTGCACAGGCATACTTCACGTTGCTAGTATATAATGCTTATGAAGGAATGTAATTTTATTGTTGCATTTTACTGCTTCATATGTTTGATCGCATCATGTTGCGTTATTTATTGATATCATTTTATTTTTGTGAACATATTGATTGCTTTATGAGTTATACTCATACTCTTTCATCATATTGCGGTAGCAATTTGTTTATTTATTTTTGTTTTGTTATATAATATTGTTTAGTTTTACCTTTGGAGAATTTACTTTGCAATGTTTTTTAACTGAAGTGTTCCTTCGGCTTCTATTGATTATAGTTGAGAAGTTGAGAATATAAAGAAGGGTGCAATGCGGCTGATTGCAAATCCCTTCTAGTTGTATCGAGCATCCATCCATTAATTTTTGCACGAGATTTTACCTTAGCCAAGAACCGAATGATCAGGATTTTATGGCGTTTCCAGTGCCACAATATGGAGAAATGATCTGTAACGAGATTTTGCTCAAATAGATATAGTTCGAGTTGAGCGGAAATAATTTTTCAGTGCAAACGAGTTGGAAATGTTCATTTTAGAGACTGAATAAATGCAAATTTGAGAAAGAATGTAAAGGTTTCGAGCAGATAATCACATTTATTTCATGATGTATTCATGTGTTGGTTTATTGAAGTGATTTCGTATTGTTATTTGGTTGACTTTAGCGTGGTTGTTGGTGCAGTATTCATTTTGTGTATTCCTCTCGCAATTGGTTCTAGGTAGAACTAAAGTGATCTAGAAAAATGTCGAAAGCTTTCATTGGCAAACCAGCACCAGCATTCACTGCAACTGCAGTCATAGATGGTGATTTCAAGACGGTCTCCCTCTCAGACTACAAGGGTAAATATGTGGTGCTCTTCTTCTACCCAATGGACTTGTTCGTTTTGCATTGTTTCGTTCATTCGTTCCGTTACTTGATAGTTTTCTACTTATACCTAGAAGGCCTTCAGGTTTGTCGTTTTATATGAATGGTTGTTATTCTATCTCTACTTGATATTGGTGTCTTCTCGTTCTACCAATTAGTAGTCCTAATGAATTGGTATCCTTGATTAATGGTCTTCAAAGAATCACCTTTGTTGGGGACAAAACAGCCAACCAACCTTTCGGAATCTAATTTCTGATTTCAGAATCTGATTTTGGCAAAATACACCCAAATTCTACCAGCATTGCTGTTGAAATGAAGTTTTTAGCCATTTGTGGTTGCATAACGAATTTTCAAGTTGTTCTTTTTTGAATTGCAGCACATTCGTGTGCCCCACGGAGATTATCGCGTTCTCGGAGCGTGCCGAGGAATTCAAGAAGTTGGGNATTCCAATTTGTGGACAAACACGGAGAGGTGAGACAATCGTTTTGGAATGAATAGTTTTTGTTGTTTCAGAGAT